GATTCTCAAGCTAGTTTGGAGATCTCTTGAGTGAATTTTCATTCTGGAATTTTTTGGGCTTATTTTATAATATAAATTTGTTGGTATCAATTTTTTGTAATTTGTAATGTTTCATTTTACATCTTATAATTAAGTTTTATGTATAACTGTATTTTATTTTTGTATTAAATCGAAATTTAGTATACATTATCTGGTTATTCAAAACATATGAGTATATTAAAGATTATTTGTAGATACTCGGACATTATCTCATGATAAAGCGTAGTTTCAACCAAATTTTACAATAATACGATTATTTTTGAAATTATTAAAAATTTGGAAGAAAATATATTACAAAATTTAAGGTAATAGATAATTTTTATATAAATAATAAAAATTAAAATTTATTAAATACGTTAAATTTAACGATCAAGTTTCATTCAAAAATTTCATTTAATTATTTTTTATTAAAAAAACTTAAAATGTAAAGCCCCAATTTTTTATTATGTTTATTATTGTAGATATATAAATAAGCTTATTTTACGCTTTAATTACAAATTTTAAGATTATTTTATCAATATTTTAAACTTTAGAAATCTTTTTAAATAAAACAAGAGATTTATCTTGTTGTACTTTTAAATTTGTTATAAACTCTTCAAAGGTTACTTAAAAGGTTGTCAAAACTTTGCTAAAACTCTGAATATTTGTACATCAATGATAATTATAAAAATGTGAAATTTAATATTTAGTGATTCTAAAAAAAATTCAAACCCAATTTAAAACTTGAACATATATAATAAGACGCTTTTCCATCTTGATTTTAATTATATAAATGAAAATTAAAAAATTATATATTCAAGATTTTAAATAGACCATGAATACATTACATGAATCTACTAGTGGTTTAAAAGCATGTTTGGAGCGGAAAGGCTTCAAACAGGCTTCAAATTTATCAATTAAATCTATTTTTTCTACATAATTTTTTTTAATAATAAAATAATCTAAATAGACTACGTTAAGACAAAGATGAAACTTAACCCAAATCCAACTGTTAAATATTATCGAAATTATCATATTTAGGTTCATAATGTCAATACAAGAAAAATATATAATTCATAATTTTAAAATGCAGTGTTGAAAATAGAGACACTAATGAATTGTTGCAGAATTCTCATTTTTCAGAGAGATTCTCTTTAAAATAATATACAATCTTATTTTCATACACAATGCCTTTGTTTAGAAGATACAGGAGATTATTTGTATTGCAAGGAATAATCAATTTGGATTAGAAAATTTGTAGAACAACAATAGGTAACAATGTAAGCAGCTTTGATGCTCTGTTTTGTAATGAAACATGTGTTCACAAACTCTAGGATGCATGCATATGTTGTGGATAAGTCTAAATATTGAAGTGAAATGATCTAGATGACCGTTACAAAGCTACCGACAACTTTGCATCACCATTTTATCTTCACTTTCAAAGTTCATGCCGTATCTTTTTGCATCTAGCCAAGTTCATGTTGAGGCAATTTTTTAGCTTTTCAACGATCATGTATACTCATTTCAAAGCCTAATTAACACCAACAGGTAGAACAAAATACACAGTTCACACTTAAACTACTTGCAACGTGGATGACTGCAAAATTCTGACTTTTCAAATTAATAATATGAGAGTTTTTTGCACCCAAAACTTCTACTAATATATTTTGAGAATAAACATATTTGCAACATGTATAGGTTTTTGAAAATTATGACATTCCTTATCATTTATTACAATTCACGATTCTACAATCCGACATGACTTCATTTTGCATGACAATATGTTGTTTGGTCAATTATACAATATTATCTTCAATCAAGATAAAAGTGTATAAATCAAATCCAGATCGGATATAGATAAAAATATCAAAGATTGATCACAAAAAGGTTAAATATCAACACTTTTTGAAACCCGTAACATATTCTTTCCACATCTTCATAATATAAAAATTCAGTTTTGCACCACGTCCCGAATGCTATTAGTTACAATATTTTAAAATCTTATTATTGGTTTTAACATTAAAATCAGATACAAACTTGGCCATTTCATTTTAGTCACTAAAAACTAAAAAAAAATCACTGATCAACTAAAAAAGGATACATGCAATCATGTTATCTTAGTATTAGTGTGAAAAAAAAATATCAAATTTTTTTTGAAAATAAATCATACTATCAAAGACGTCATTATATTTTTGACAATAATTTTATGAAGTAATACTTATAATAAAATTGATGTAAATAAACAAGGTTGTAATTCTAAGATTCAATTAAAATTTTTTTAATTTTCTAAGCATAAATTTTAATAAATAGACTATTTATGTGTGATATATATGCAAATTTATCAAAAATTGCATTTAAAAAAACGATATGGAAAATATGAGCAATGATGTAAACTATCAGTTGGCCACAATAAGATATGTCCAAGCATAGATAAAGATTTATATTGAAGACTTTATCTATCACAAAAAATCATTTTGAGTATTTTTTATTTAATCATGAATACATTAGAAAACCTTGAACAATAATGACTTAAAGAAAAAAGCCATAAATCATCATTTTTTATATTAACTAAAACGTTGAAATTTTGCAATTAAGCTAAATTAAAAACTCACTTCTGATTATACAAATTCATATGTGAGATGTAACTATTCATGTTATCTTATCCAATAATGTATTGTAATGAATCAATTCAATTAATTATAGAATTGGATTTAATTCTTGATATGTGTATTCAATGTATCCAAGTTCTAGAATGAATTTCAAATTTTATGTGTTTGACATAAATTCTAATATATAATAATCAACATCAAGAATTAAGAAGAATCATAATTAAATAACAAGTTGATCAGTAAACAAAGATCAACGAAGATTGAGAAGATGAAGAAAAAACACATGTAGTTAGGTAATGAAGTGCATGAAAGAGTATATGAGACAACCATGCAAGTAAGAAAATGATAAATATATAATAATTGGGATGCTCCACAATCGGATTTCCAAAGTTTTCAACAAAAAAATAGATGCAAGATATTCTATTCTTGTTGTCATTTGATTCAAAGTGAATTATATGTTGAGGTTAGTTAGTCACTTGACAAATGCTATTACGATTATTTTATGGAATTTCACTATATAATTAGTATATCATAGTCTTTCTCCACATTCTTCACATGAATCTCTACTTAAAGATATAATGTATTATGCACCGACATAATAAGAACATGATTGAGTTTAGAAATAATCCACAGGATAGCTGATCCACATGATAGAAACATGTAAGTGAAGAAATAATTCTGGACTCTAAACCGACGCTCGTCTCCCATCGGCAATCAAGTCGAGGGCAACACTCTCGACCGAAAGCTTCGTATGGACAACGTTTGGACTGTCAGCGATTCGACGTGGCCAAATGGACAAGGACAAGGACAGTTAGCTGATGCTGATGGACTTGGAGATGGAGAGCAGTACTTGACTCGATGATGCTGCCAAGATGCTCCACAATGGAGAGAGAGAGAGAGAGAGAGAGGATTGATCAGGTACAGGCGATTTGTTCTCGTAGACCTTCTGAGGTTGCTCAGGCAGGCAATCATAAGAATTTGTTCGTGCAGCAGAATATTTGTTGTTAGTTAGAGGCCTGCTCTCTGGTGTGTGCCATGTTTGGCGGCTGCTGTGCGTTCTCATCCTCTTCAGCTCAATTACACTTGGAGTGTGATTGTGAGCTTCGTCCCCTTCCCTTCCCTTCCTCTTCCTCTCCTCTCCTCTCCTCTCCTCTCCTCTCCTCCTAAACCCTCTCCTCTCCTGATTACCAATGATTACCAATGGAACGGGATGGAATGGCCGTGGCATCTATGAGCGGTGGGCGCCATGCGAAAAGGAGGGAGGGAGGGGCTTGTTGCGTGACCAGCTACAGCCTTCTATTCCACCCACTCGCGCATTCAAGCCCTGGACGAATCGGAGATTATGAAAGGGATAGAGTAAAGCACATATGGGATCGCAGCAGTCTCGCAGCCGCAATTCCATCATGCGCTTACGCACTCCGATGTCATTCCCCGAGTCAAGTGCTCGGACATAGCTAGCCAGCCATCTATGGGCTCGTTCGTTTGTGGGAGCTTGATCGCTTTGCCAACTCCTCGCTTTTCTATGATTCCCTCTGTTCGGCCCTGCATGAAACCATGAACGCAGCCTAGCTTCGGTGGCGTGCCGACCCACTTTGGAACAATTCTCGAAACGAACACCATCCATCCATTGGCAGTTATTATTATGACACAGTTTCATTTACACTCTCTCTCTCTCTCTCCCTCTCTCTCTCGTAATGGCTGATGCGAGACTTGCAGTGATAGAAATGGAAAATCGTCCCCCCCCCCCATACGAACGATGATCCGTCCGTTTGTGCTTCACTCGTACACTGCTTCTTGTACTGGAGGGAGAGGACGTTGCAGCTGCGCAAAAGGACGAGCCCTGATCGGCCGAATTAATACGATGGGGCCGCAAAAGTGCAACCTGCGGACAAAATCGAAAGTTGAATATTCCTGCCCCTCGGAGTTCTCGTCCTGTGGCTGGAACTAACTTTGTACTGCCTTGGGTTCTTCGATGGAAGGGAGGTCAAGCGGATGTGTGCTCCTCGTCCTCCTCTACCGCTGCTGCTACTACTGTACGAGAGAAAATCTGTCTCTGGCTCAAGTCACGCACATGGACATGTACACGACCTCGTGAGCTCAGAATCACAGAGTAAAGAGAGTTGCGTCTCCCTTGGGAATTACAGTTGCGTTTGGTCTCGAGAACATCGTTTTCCATATTTTGGAGCTTTACAGTCGAGGAAGTTGTTGCAGTAAAACCATGCATGATGTGCATTACGTGCACCTTATTATATTGCCAAAAGTGGCAGCTCTTTCTCAGATCTCAGGGGCCCTCGTTGCTCCGCTAAAATAGTGTGAAACATGTGATCAGCTGTTGCTAAAGCACCCTACAAATCTATCTATCACCCTTCGTCCCCTCCCCCCACCCCCCCTTCCCTCCTCTTCCTCCTCCAAAGTGCTGCTTCTGTTGCTTGTCCCCTCTTCTCCGGGCTTCTTGCATGGGTTCAATAATCGAGACGACAAAATGATTAATCAAAGCCTGCACATCCATCTTCGAGACGATAAAAAAAGATTTTACTATCTCTGCGAATCCATTTTCATGAACTGATGTTTATTGTCGGATTCTCCACGATCTCTGAACATCATTTGCTTCCTGTGCTCTCTGTAATCCGATTCCGATTCGAGTAAGCTGAGCGTCACCGTTCATAACTTCGCTAGATCGAACCCAGGTCGAGCATGAAGCTTGCTAAGAGGCGAGGACGATGTAGCTGTGTGGTGGTATGAAACCGCTAGGATCTTCTGAGGCTCTGGATCGTTCATGAGTTTGGATTATTCTATGCATTTATGATTATTCTATGGGCCTACGGGTCTGGAAGCTACGCTTTTCTTCTCACCAGGATACAAGTCATTAAGGAACCGTCTTTCGCAGCTGAAAAGTCTTCAAATCTGTACACGCCGTAGGCAGAAAGCCTGGGCCAAGCCGGTGCACCCTGCCACCTTCCAGGCGTCTCGCTCTCCTCAGAAGAAGAGGGAGCATGCAGGAGGAACGACCTCCATCAGAAGGGAGACAAGGAAGGCAATCGATGTGCGAAGGATGTTGTGGGGACTTTTGGCCATGGCAGTCCAATCGATTTCATTCGCTCGTTGTTCGCTAGTGTACCGGTGATTGCAAGCGATCAGAATCCTGAAAGGCTCAATTTGCCACTTCTCAGCTCAGGACATTGAGTCGAGGACAACAGTGGCCGATTCAGAAGCGTTGTTGTCCTGTCCATGGGTCAGAGAAGACAGCCAACTATTCCAAATTATGACGCGACTTGAAGATTTCAATCCCGATCCCGATCCAGTCCAACCCCAACCCAGCGACGTGTTGCACTCGGAGGTTGATCGAGAATATAGTAAATTTTAAACGCCAAGGCCATTGTTCAGATTCGATGAATACTATGCTCGGCGCAGATCTATGTGGAATTCCGATCCGGTCTAAATGGCCCTGGAACGAACAAATCAGAGAGGGAGGTAGGAGAAACAGGCAGCCAGACAGCCAGACGGACAGAGCTAGCTCCAGACCTGCCTGGGGCAAATCCGCTGCAAGAAAAGTCCGTGTAAGGCCTTTTGGCCACTCTGCCAGCCAGCCAGCCAGCCGGCAGATGGCAGCTGCGGCCGTATGAAGCGATTCGGACGATCGAAAGCGGGTGATGTGGCCGGCGGTGCTCTCTGCCATTTTCTCACACGATCAGCCACTCTTCCGTCTTGGCTGGCTTGACTTGGGGAACTTGGGGATAAATTCAGTCGTCGGGCAGATTCGCCTTTTGCTGATTCTTCGTCTTCTTCCTCTCGCCTCTCAGACAGATTACAGCAGACAAGGCCACAAATAAACAGTTGACCCACTGTCGCTCGTTTCACACTCTCTCTCTCTCTCTCTCTCTCTCTCTCTCGTACCACCGCCACTGTGACTTGAATGAACATCATCTGCACCCAAACAACAGTACGTGGCTTCCACTTTGGTCACACAAACAGGTTCCTGTTTGTCTGTTGCTCGAGCCACGATCAGCCTCCTTCTGCCCTTGCTCACCTCGCTCTCCCTCATTTCCATATAATCATCTCCTCCCTGATTTCCTCCTATTTTCCATTCTTACCAGCTGACAGATGTTTTACGTGCTTTGTTTGTCTCTGGAGCCAACCAACCAGACCGCCTGCCTGCCTGCCTGCCATTCAGTACGGCAGACAAGATACAGGATTTCGTTGCTCTTTTACTTCTTCTTCTTCTTCCTCTTCTTCTTGGTACCCAAGACCAGCCTTTACCTGTTCCTGCGCCATCTCCAGCCACGATCAGCCTCCTTCCTGACGACATGTTTTCAGCCTTCTTACAAGCTGATGCTTATTTATATCAACAGCAGCAGCAGCAGCATCATCTTGACGTAGGAGGAAGAGGAGTGGTACACTCAGCAGCGGACAAGGACAAGGCAAGTGAAGGATTACAAATGTTGTGAATCCTCCTCACTCCAGGGACTCTTCTCTAATCATTCGTTATCCCAACTAACAGTAAGAAGACACCTCCATTTACTCCTCCATCCTCCTATGTTTCTCCACGATCGATCCCTACAAGCGTCCGCCTCGCATCCAGGGAAGGTGCTTCTTCTTCTTTTTCTTCTTCTTCGTCTTCTTACTCTTCTCGACAACAAGCTGCTCATGTTCTTCGGGTCTCGTCTCTTGAGAGGCAAAGGTAGAAATTCATTTTCAAATGTACAGCAGACGCACCACGAAAGTAATCCCGCCGTGTGGCAGCCCAAATTCCACATAATCCATCACTGCTGAAGATAGGCCTCAGCAGCAATAGTCGCACGCATTAGAATAAGGTTGGATACTGAAGAGGAAGGATCCCGTCAGTCAAGTGAAGTCCTGCCCGGCCTAGGCGCTGTCCAGTTGGGAGGAAGCAATCTGCTCTGCGGACAGCCCTTCGAGTTCACACATGTTACACACTTGCGCAGTGTCAAATGTGGTGAACAATGGCGCTGAATCGTCGGGATTTTCGGTGGGTCGAGGGAGGGAGGGAAGGAGGGGGCATATGCGTGTAGACTGAGACCTGAGTGTGTGTGTGTGTACGTGAGTGTGTGTTTGTGTGTCTTTTTCGCACACAGAAGTCACGACTGCAGAACTCGGAGCAGCTTGTGCGGTGCCAATCAATGCGAGCCCATGATCTGTATGAACCGCAATACCTGTCCTTCTTATAGACTTATCTAGAGCTTGTTTACCCCCTCGGCACAGTAAGCTTTCCTCAAACTCCAATCGGGTGAGGGATTATACTTTTTGGCAAGAGGATTTTGATGACAAGGTACTTTCATGTCATCTGAATGAACATTCAAGGCGTTACAACTTTGCTTGTAGGTAGGCAGGCAGGCAAGCGAGCGTTGAAGCCCAAAATGATTCCACGAGTGATTGCCAGAGCTGTAAAAGGTCATCCATGTGTGTACCTTCAGGTTTTTTCTCTGGTACAGACTCTGGAGTGAAAGGTGAAAGGTGCAAGGAGCAAGCAGGACCTACTCCTCGCACCGATTCAATCATTGATGTGCAGTTCACAAATTTCGCGTCTTGTGGTTGACTCGAATCTTCAGGCCTTGTTAGAACTGCTACATGTGTTCTATTCAGAAATAGCTCGAATAGAATATGACGACGTAACCACTGGTACGCTGAGACGAGACTGTTCAGAAGCAAACGGACAAAATCTTCAAAAGCACCCACCGTACTAAGATTTGTCAATACCTAATCTCTTGAATCCCACATACTTCAAGAGCAGGATCAGAATGAGATATATCAAGATACAACTACCAACAGGACCAAAAGCTGTGTCAATTATTTTCGTAACATGAACGCCAGGTTATTTTTTATTTCCCCCCCTCCCTCCCTCCCTCCCTCCCTCCCTCCTGTAATTCTTTACATACTTCAGCTTATTTCAATTCTCTTGGACCGAGGAATAATCATTGTAAAGATCTCGAAAACATGCTATGGCTGTGACTGTCTCCTTGTTTTCGCTTTCTTGCATGGTGCTTGATAATAATATGTTCGGACCTGGTGTTCGAGGTAGAAGTGATATGCCGATTATTATAACGAGCACCGAAGTTGTCATGGTCTAATCATGACCTGCCTCCCTCGAGCTATCGATCTCTGCATAGAAATCAGCCCAAGGAGTTTGGAAGCAAAAGTCAAATTCGTTGAACTTGTGCCACAGAAAAAAACCGAAAAGTATCCGGCCTCATGTTCTAGACGTGACTGCCTTGTGCCATATCTGCACAGCAGATCCCCTAAAAAGTGTTGCGGAATCTCACTCGAATGTTTGAAGCTTGGGAAGGAGGTTTCGGAAAGCACAGTCAAGCAAGCAAGCTCACAGTGGCCGACGAATATATTATCCGCTCGTGATATTCTATACATATTCTATACATACATTTCTCCCGTCGAGAATCCGTGGAATCAATGGAATCCGGCGGATTTTAGCTGACGGGTTCAAGCAAAGCCAGACGATCCACCAGCCGAGTCCTCTCCATGCCATGTATAAAATACTCCACACCACATTGCATTGTTCATTGCCGAGCAGTACCCTTTCTTCGTCGCGAAATTCTGAAGGAATTCAGAATATTATGCAGAATAAATTTTCAGATTATTGCACGGAATCAGAAAGTCTAAAGTATGTGGCAAGAGTCCGTCTGACTGACTGACTGACAGACAGACAGACAGAGAGGGCCAAGACCCCATCTGCTTTCTCTCTCGCTCCTGGCTTTGAACATGTGCATTGTGCTGCAGACTCCTCCTCCTCCTCCTGCACATTCATCCTCCCTCCTCCATCCTTCGTTCCTTTTTTCTTAGCTACAAACTGTTTGGCCTGCATCTCAACAAAGTTCAACCACCCCTCGCTTTACGCATTACAGGACGAGGTTGGTTAGATCCCGTTGACTGCGCTGGTAATGGGAAGACCATCCAACCGACTGAACAAGCCCGAAAAGCTGACAGGCGATGAGCTGCGAGCATGCTGCTACTCTCCCAAGGTTCCGACATTGTTATGTCAAACATGTTGTGCGAGTTGCAGAATGGCGTGCGTAATTCGGGTGAAGAGGTAGAGGTGGAGGAATGCTCATGACTGCTCCTCCCAAATTACTGGTCTGCTCACGAGAGGAGGAGCATGCATCTCAGTCGTAGTCGGGCTTGCTTGCCATTTCCCGTTGCAGAGTGTGAGGAGGGAGTAGCTACTTCGAGCTTACTTGTAAAAGTTTCGCTTACGCGCGATCTCCAACAACAGTCGAAATGTTTGTATCTTCAATGAACGACGAACATGAATGTACATGTCATGGAATTGCAACAAAGCAACTTCGTTACATAATCTTTCTCATAATTTTTTTTCCAGTTCGAGGAGGTGCACCAGTTATCCATGAATCATGAAGTGAGTTAGTAGACGTTTAGTTGTTAAGATATGAAAAACCTTTAAAAAAAAGTTACTACAAGCTATACATGAAATAGCTGATTATATATATATATATATATATATATATATAGAGAGAGAGAGAGAGAGAGAGAGAGAGAAAAAGAAAGAACATTCCTTACATTATGTATTGAGCTTGCATAGCGCCAAATCATGAACAACACTTGCAATACAGTGATTATTTTTTTGTGCTGGAGACTTACAATATGGGAGAAGAAGAACAATTCTAGGATAATTGTCTTTTCTCATTCGGAAAATTGTTAACATTGGGAGATATGATCCGAAAAAAGTTGTGCAATGATGCAAAAGAATGTGATGATGTGTCGTTGTGCTGAGGTGGATCCCCCTAGTTACCTCACAATATCATTCTGAAGTCCCCTCAAACTTTGTTTCTCGAGAGGATCTGACCGAATATATAGACTTGGTAGACTATGAGAATTGGCGTTTATTACGACTTTGAAGTCAAATTTTATCCAGGTCCAATACATCTGATGAATCTGGCTAAAAAATCTAGAGAACTTTAACGCCTTTGCAATTTTTCTCGTGAAAGTGGAACGACCCTTTGAACTATACACTCTAGAAAAGATATTAAACAATTTCCAGGTACGTGATCTTACTACATCAAAAGCATTGGGACTTTGTGCTCATCTTCTATTTATCTGGATGAGTAGATGATGCTCATGCTGGGGTTGGCCATGAGACTTCGTCCGATTTATGGATCAGGGGTCGTAGACTTCGACCCCAAGGAAACAGTAGTCGTCCACTCTGCTCCAAACAACGAAAGCACAGCCTCTTGATGAGAAATGATAACGCTCGCCGTTGTCTGCTTATGATTACCTAAAGGACAACTTAACGTGGACTTGGATCTGGAACGCCTGCAATATTAATGCATAGTCGTGTGCTCCACAATTACAGATCCACAAAGGCGGAAATAAGCTGGCAAACAGAAGTAGTCCTGCAATCCTTAGCACAGAAATTTTCTATTCGTAAATCAATCCGATTCAATTTCCAGCATCGCAGGAAGTGAATGAAATGTGCCAAATGTAGCAATAACCACCATAAAGAAGCGGGCATTCATTCAACCCAGATACAAGGAACAATGGAAGTTGGAACAAGTGAAGGTGCGTATCCGACAAGGGCTAAATAGTTAAAGACAACGAAGCCCATGGATGCATTCAAACACTTGGGAAAGGCTCTGTGCTAATGCTACTGCTGGCTGGAGGAATGGAATCCTCGGCCTTGCATCATCGTTGATGGGTAGGGGCTGCTGTGGGGTCATGGGTATGGGCATTCCATTCCGTTTTATTTATGCTGCGATCCACTTATGACAACTAACAGAACAAACAAAGATGTAAAGGAGTGTTGGGAGTGAATACGGAATGTCCCTGAGAATACATACGGAGAGATTCGGTCTCGTGACAAGTCCCAAGTTTAGGCACATGGTTTGCAAATTATAGCTCGGCCTCTGGTCATATTAAAGTTGAACACATTGATAGGAGGCCAGCATATACATAATTAGCAGCCGGCTTAGACGGACAGCAACGAAAGTACTAATGATTACTACGGAAAGAACACGATCCACTGATCCGTGTGTTCACACGAATCTAGCGGAGCAAAGCTGATTTAGTATAATACTCCAATTCTGATGACATAGATGTGATGATTTCGGGGCCTTGGCCAAAATAAATTTTCAGGCTATACGGAGCTTGCATCACAGCACATGCTTTAAACATGTCCAGTTTCAGACAGTCCAACCCGGAATCGAATCGATCAATGAATCGCCCACGTACATTTGACCCTCTCCATTCTCTTCCTGCTATTCACTTCAGTTCTCTTCACTTCACCTCACCTCACCTCACCTCGCCTGACTTGACTTCAGACGGGCATCTTCATATATTCCCCTCCAGCTTCGATGACAGCTGATTGACTGATTGATTATATTCGCTCTCTCTCCCTCTCTCTCTCTATCTCTCCCCTCTTCCTCTCGCTCGCTCTCATGTGTGATGTACAGTGGTACTCCAGAGAGATTCGGTAATCGATCGATCGTTACTGATGTTTAAAGTTCACCAGAAATATCTTCGAGCTTCATATTGTGTTGAGTGGCATGGACCTTCGTGTTATGGGATCTGCCTGGAGTCCCTGAGCTGAGGGCAGGACTAGCGAGGGACGAGTACAACAAACTTTCTGTCCACGAGATGGCCCAGCAGCAAGACACTCCGACTTCCCTCTCTGTCTTTCTCACCAGCTCGACTGAACTCTTGGGCCGATCCTCCTAACCCCATGACGGCTGCGGACAGAGTACCTCAGGCTGATCGACCTTGTATGACTTCCTTTATTTCTTCAATCGCCACCTAGAGTACACAAATGCCTTCTCGTATCGATGAACCCTTGGTTTCTGATTCTCAGGATCACTATCGGATAATTCTTCTGTACTCTCTCTGTCTGTGGATAATGCAGATGCCTGAAGCATGTACATGTACATTTCTTTATCATGCTCTCCTCTTCTACAACGCTCTCTCCTTTGAAGGCTATGAATGGACGTCCGACTCCTCAGACAGGACCAATTTATTTACCTGTTTACGGAACAGCAAGTGAACATTTTCCAAGAATTTTGTAGTCAGCCTAAAATTTTCAGCAACTCCGATATACCTCTCCCTGTATTAACGTATAAACAAACAATGGCAAACCCTGGAACTTCGCTCCGATACAAAACTCAGTCAAGGGCTCGTATACTTTCCCCACATGTTCAACGTATCGTTGACAGGGTGCTCTCGTCCTACTCTTGAGGTGTG